GTCTCTTCTTTGACGAGAGCGGAATAGCGGCGGTCCTCTTCGTTTCGCGCCAACAAGGTGCTGAGTCGTTCGGCCAAACGTGGACTGAGCGCCGAGCTGTGGGTATGGACTGAAAACGCAAAGTATGACCTGTTAGCACAAAGGAAAGAAAATCAGTTGGTGACGAATGTGAAAACAAAAACTTACGAGTATGAGAAATGAAATGAATAGGCGGGTGCCGAATAGCGTCTGGGGTCCTCCACTCGCCGCCGACCCAAAACCAGTGCGGCATGTAGCCATGCAGGGTCTCGGGCAACTTGGCCACCAACGTCTTGTCGATGCCGGGCAGTACCGAGCTGTAGTAGTTGTCGGTCTCACCGGCGCGTTTAAAAGCAAACAAGGATCTCACTTCGTCGTCGGTGGGGTCGGCCCAACCCTCACGACGGTACATGACAATCAGGCTCATCAGGCGAGCAAACACTGTCGGCACATATTGACTGATGCCGACCTCAAGTCCGCTCAAAATATCGTTGAGAGCGCTGGGCAGGGGAAATCGAAGGCCTAAGTGGATGCTGTGGCGGTAGACCCCTATACAGCCCGGCGGCGGACAATGGATTCTCTCTCCGGGATAAGGTGCGAACAGCCGAACGCCGGGGCCGAAGTTGAACTTTCCCCTCAGCTGAGCCAGATCGGCGTCATCCAGGATCGACGCCGTGTTCCAGGCCGTCGCCTGACTCGGTGCTGCCCGGATCCGTTCAGGTCGGCGCCAGAACCCCGGAGAAACAGCGGTCACCTCCTCGAGAGCGGCGTCGAACGACGCGTCCCCCATGGGGACACGCTCCCGACCGCCGGTTTCCCCTTGAAGGGTCTCATCAACCAGATCTGGATCGACATCGGAGTCGGTGTCCAGAAAATCAAGATCGACGTCATCGTCGTCAGCTGCAGCAAAAGGGTCCTGGTCGGCACCACTGCCCTCGCGTAGCGGCGACGAGGGAAGGTCAGGTTCGACACCTCCGCCGCCGGAGGCGACTTCCACCGCCGAGGGGTCCGGCCGGACAATTGAGATAGGGACAGCGGTAAGGATGACGTCCGCCGGCCGGAAAGTTTCGGCGCCCTCACCGGCGAAGTCGCCGCCATCGCCCGCAGATTTTGGGGAAGAAGACATCGCAAAAAAAGGAAGAAGGAGAAAGAAAGGGTAAAACAAGAATTACCGAAGGAATCGCCGGAGATCGTTGCCGGAAAGTTCTTGGGATATGCTCGGAAATCGCAAAGCTCGACAGATCCGAAAAGAGAGAAGTTTCAGAAAGTTCTTGGGAAAAGTGAAGAGAAATCCTGGAAAAGAGATATATATAAGATCCCACAACCAATCGGAAGTGAACACGTGGACGGGCCTTTTGAAATTCGAAATTCGAAACGGTTCCTCAAGTAACTGAAGTGTTGAACAAGACAACCGTCATCCCCCTTTATGTCAACCGTTACGCCCGTTCGAAAAACTTGGCCCTTAATCCGCCACGTGTCCCCCCACAGTGTGAATGCAGTTAACGCTCGCACCCACGTTTATCAACCGTTACACCCCACGTCTTCTGTTGCCAATCGTTGCACCCCCACGACTGAAGTGTGTTGGAGATGCCGACTTCAACAGGAGACGGACACGAGCTCGAGGGGCCCTGCTCGGATCCCACCGATTGAAGACGACCTCCGGAGAGGTCCGAAATACCTCACCAGAGCTCGGGGGCCTGTATGTTGATATCCGAGCCCGGACCCAACGTAGGTACCGGTCCGAGCCGAAGGAGCCGGTCACCAAAACCGCACATGGGTGCCGAGCTGAATGAGAGTCAAAGTCGTCTGGAATGGTGGGGGGAACAAGTCCCGAGATCGGCACCGCCTCCATGTGGCTACGAGATCGGCACCTTGTTCCAAGTCTAGCAAGGGCGGCTCCTGATAGAAGTATGACGTCGGACACAATAAAATAATGCCACTTGTCTACGAATGATTGCCGATGGGACGTCCAACTCAGCCAGAACGTGTTCGCATTTAATGCAGCCCACGTTCGCATTAAATGTATGGCAGGCAATGATTAGAGAATCCGGAAATCACTCCCAATCAGTCAGAAAAGCGCCGGCTTGTCCCATTGAGCTACTGTACGACAAGATCGTTGAACAGTACCCGAACAGTGCGACATTAAAAGCTACTATAAATAGCAACCTACTTCATTTATTTTAGGTTGTTGAAATCCCAACTACTCGAGCTCATATTTTCTCTCTCTAAAGAACTTGTAAGAAATTCTTGTAAGCAATATAAGGATATCACAAGTGCCGACCTCGTACGAGAGGCCGACCTCGTGACCCGTTAATAAAACCGTAATTAAACCATATTTCTTTGTCTTTTCCTCATTTTCTTTCCATCATTTGACTTTTTAACCGTTGACCGGAAACATCCGTCAACAAAGCCTATAGAGTCAAGGCTCCAACACCACCTGCCTTTATTCCCAGGATCCAACCCTTTAACTTTCAATATTGCATCAATTTCCTATTGACATAACAAATTTCTCAGTATGTCACTATTCCAGCTTCTACCATTAGTTTCCATCAGTTCCTTCACAAAAATGATCTGAGATTCTCTCCTCTTCGTCAACAGTCCATTGTTCACCATCAGCTCTGGTAGCCAGGGGTCAGCCCATATGTGAGTTGAAGCACCATCTCCAATTTTGATCTTGAACAACTCCTTGTATTTATTCTTAACCCTCATCCAAGTAGCCTAAAGTCAGGAGGCAGATGGTGAGCTGTTACTCTTGAGGATAGAACAATGAGGGAAGTATTTGCTCTTCAAACTTTGACTTACCAGCAGGTTTGGGTTGGATAATATTCTCCATATCTGCTTAATAATTAGAGCATTATTCCTTTTAAAAATCAAAATGATCTTTGAATAAATATTGGTTAATAAAATTTAAAATTTTAATTTAATTCTAGAGAATTAGTTGATAAATTTGAAGGATAAGGTAACTGACAACAAATATAGAAATTTTTGAAATAATATATATATATATATATATATATATATATATATGAAATATATAAGGAAATTTATTGTGTAGTCTAAATTTGGGTTCCAAATATAAAAGTCAAATAAGTAATTATTCATATCTTACGGGTCAATATTAACTTGGACGTAAATAGAATAATCAATTATTTATAATTTAATAAATTACTTTTTGATTTGGATAGTTTATAAAAAAAAATTCATATGAATTAATGGAACAATACAAGTTTTATACTTATACTTATTATTCACATAGATTTTAAATATATGATAAAATTTAATCAAAATAATTATTTACGGAATCGCTTATAGTCATATTGAATTTTTGAATAAAAATGTTAAAATGACACTTATTTTGAAATATAATGTACTTTATTATCAGTTACTTGTACAGTACGAGTTTTGTACTAATTTTAAATAGACATGTTTTATTTAGTTTTGCACAATTTAAATTTCGTATAACATTTTAATAATCTAATATAGGTAAAGTGTATTACATATTGATTCTGTATTTTTAACTTAAATTATTTAATGAGCATTTTCAATTTATAAATATTAATGATGACCTCTTATCCGTGCATCACACGTAATTCGTACTAGTTATCTCTTTGCATAGTTTATGGAATAATTTGGATTCCACTTAGTGTGGTGAAAATGTTCTGATATATTATGTTATTTATGTTACTAGTACAACACTCATGTAATACATGAGATATCAAATTATAATAATTATATATATATATATATATATATATATTTTAATAAAATAAGATTATAAGTTTTTTCATTTTCAAATTTTCAATAAGTTTTGTTCAAAATTATACGTGTTATACGGGACCAAAATAATTTTTATTCTCATTAGCTTGTGCGATATATATGTTATGCAAAACGTTACATAACTCATAGCATATAACATAAACATATCATGCTGTAAATATCCACCAACAATATTTTTCTGCATATACCAAAAGAATATATATCAATTATACTATTTGTCATAGCAAAATTTATAGATAAAATTATTTTTAATAATGATTGATAGATAAACTTAATTTTTGTTTGAATATTTTTGTTATTTTTAATATATGATGAGGGATAAATAGGAAAATAGTTCAGAATAAAGTTTCTTTAGTAATGCAGAATTTAAAATAATTTTTTAAATGATTCTATTCTCCTTACATAAAATATTTTTAGTATCCCACCAGTGCAATAGACCATGACAATTAGTAAATAAGGCCAAGTGCCCTTCTAATTGACTATGCACTACATGGTATTAAGTTAAGCAACAAATATTTATTGCTTAAAGAATATCGTATTTTGTTTATAATTTTTCAAATAGCATATGCGATGTAGAGTATGTATTTCAATTTACTCTTGTAGATTTTTTGTATTTTTTTTATTCCAATGCATGAAATAAAATTAATAAATAAATCTATTATAAAAATAAATAAATCTATTATAAAAATAAATATCTTGTATATAAAAAAAAAAGAAACAAAAACTAAATATATTATAGTTGAAATTTTAAATTAATATATTCACATTAAAAAATATTACCGCCAATGATTCGATTATTTTAGTTTATGAATTCTGATGAAATAAATCCCAATGGAGAGCATCATAATGAAAATTTGACGAAAAAGATAACTAAATAATGTTATATATATAATAAAGGATTAGGAAATAAACTAAATAATAAAAATAAAGAATTAAATTCTATTTATTTTTGGTAAATCCAAGCCTAGGTGTCGAGTGACTTTAACATCAAAGCTTGCTTATGTGTTCAACACAAAGCATAAATTATGGACAAGTAGAATTACGAAACGTGCGTAGGCCTGCCACTTCTAAAATTATATACAAGAGGATTTGTCGGTGTCCAATACAATTTCTCAACTCACCAAACCGAGTCCACAACTAAAATTCGTCTCATCCTTTGCTTCTACAGAATCCCAAATCAAAGAAACACCCACTCACACTCATCAATGGCTTCTCTGCTTCACTATACATTTCTTCCTCGCAGTCACCATCACGTTTCCCTGTCTAAACCCACCTCAAGTTCCCGGAATTTCGCTGGGAAATTCTCGAGAACTAAGAAAATTCGCCATTTTTCTTCGTCTGAGAGCCGGAGGAGACTTAATTTGGAGAAAGGATATTTTATCTGCCAGTCATCATCTGGCGTCACATTCATTGAGCCTCCCGAGTCTTCAAAATCGAAAGATGATTATATTGGGTCCCTCAAGATCAAATTATTGGTGCGATTTATGATTCTTGAATTATGTTTCGTTTTCTTTATCTATTTGCTGCTCGAGTTTTGACTAGATTATAAGCTTATCGTTTTTTTCTTCTAATCTTTTGTCTTGGTCGTTTCACCATATAATGGGGATGACATCTATTTTGCTCCGTTAATTGTTGTGCGAGGAATCTTAAACCCGTAATGCGTAACTTAGTCATTCACTGACCTAAGAACATAGTGGAAAAATTATTTTAATTAAGTCCAACTTGAACTGGTATAGTTAGGAACAACATCTTGGAGGAAATTAGACAGTCCAAACTCTAAGGTTTCTCTGGTGGTTTGTGAAACTTGAGAAACAAGGGTTATTAATGATTTATGAGAGTTGTTTAGTCCTGCCTGACATTGGCTGCGCAGGATTAGATAAATGTAGCTCTTAGGTTTTAAACCTTCATCTGTACTATGATTATGTTTGCTAAATCTAACTGTAAAACCAGCCGATAGCTTCTAAGTTTAACTTATAGCTTTTATAGCTTTTAAGTGAATATCGAACTAATAGATATTTATAGCTTATAAGTTAACTTTTAATTTATATGACTAATGAATGAAAAAACTAACTAACATATAAGAAGTGTTTCATAAAATTAACCGAGAAGTCTTCTGCTGGCACAAAAATTTTATTGGACATTTTTTAAAAGCCACTTAGATAAGTNTGTTAAAAAAAAAAAAAAAACTCATCCTACAAAAAAGCTTATTTGAATTAAGAAACTTAAAAACAAGTTATAAGATATGGTGCTTATTAAAACACAACAATTATAGGCTGTTGTACGTACTTCTGACGGTTTTATGGTAGGCATCTGCAAGAAAAAACATATTTTTCTTTTTTTTTTCTTTTCTTTTCTTTCTTTATCTCTTTTTTTTTTTATTTTTTTTTCCCAGAAATGAACTGTGTCATATTGTTGTAAGGTCTGAGCAAGGCATTACTTCTTTTTGGTCGTTGTTCGCAAAATATTTTCACTAACAACAAGTGTACGGTGTAGCTGTAGTAAGCTGCGAGCAAAGTCGTATTCCTGTCGTTGAAATAATTAAGTACCAAAATATAGACGATTAAATATTATTTTGACTAACTCAAATTTGAATGGTGGTTTAATTCTAAACTAATGAATAACGATAAACTAGTGCTAACAACTAATGAAGGCTTATTCTAAATAAATCAAGATTGAGAAAATAGATTATAAGCTAAGTTTTCCTCGTGATTATTCTAACAAAGTTTTTTATTCATTCAAACCTTATTTAGTTCTACCAATCGTAGGGATAATTACCTAAGTAATCTAATCTCTCTCGAGCAAGCTAAATTGTTGGTTAAATACTGTCTATCTTCTCTCGGTCTCAAGGTCTCAAGATGAACAATTAACTCCCCTAGTTCCTAAGATTCTGTCAACCTCTGGGTCTGTTTAGTCTCCTACGTTGTGAATTTTTCAATTCTAGCAATTAACTATCTCCTCTCAGTCTCAAGTCAATCAAAAGCATGCATGAATATGGGCCCTATATTCACACAACTAATATAAACATTAGAAATTGATAAACAAAAGAAAGACCAGAATGGATAAAATTATGAAGATAATCTTAGTACTTACAAATCCTAGAACCTCAAAAAAGTTTAGCTACTAAACATATTCTCAAAATTCAAAATAAATAAAAACATGAGTTCAATGAAGAAGAAAAAGAGAAAAGAAAGAAGAACTATTGTTGCCGTTAGTTCCCGAATCTTCAATCTTGACTCATTCGAATCCCAAATGCGATCTGTGCTTCCTCTCGGCTTCCAAAAGTGCTAAAAGTCCCCAAAACTGAGTTCTCTAAGTGGCTTTAGGGCAATTATGAGTCGAAAAGAGAAGAAATCACATCAGAATTTCAGTTCCCGCTAATTTGATCTGCGCGTCACACGACTCGTGTGACTATCGTGTGACTTTTCTCCAATTTTCACGAAACTCCCAAACTCACACGACCGGTCACACGACTCGTGTGAGGCCACACGAGTCGTTTGAAAATGCCGAAACAAAATCCTTCTTTTCCTTATCCACACGACTCATGTCACTGACCCACACGAGTCGTGTGTCCTACATTGCATCTCGTTTTCGTCGTGACTCCATTTTTTACGCTTTTTCGGACATATTACCTGCAAAACTAACGATAAAAATACATCTATCATAGATTAATAAATAAAACAAAATGGTGCACAATCCAATGATAAACACGGTCAAATATCACAATATATCACTCCATAATGCATGTAAATATATGATGAATGTCAGTCGTCTAACTATTGGACTGTGCTTACACTTTTTTGAAATCTATATCTATATCTATATCTATATCTATATCTTATCTATATCTATATAATGGACCAATCCATTTTGCCAAAATTGGATGAATTTTTTCCGCTTAAATTTTTTAGGATAAATTTGGAAATATTGTTTGTATAATCAATTATTCATTCAAACATAATATATTGAATATTAATTGACATATTCCACCAGATCAAGAAGGCCTATATCTTCATAAATTCAGCAAAAAAATTTCTTTGGTAATATATTGGCATATTTATGCATGATAAATGATAATATGCTTATTTTTTAATCACACATTTAATATTCCCAAACACGCATTGCCCTTGCTCTCCGCTAACATAAACTCCAAAGTTATCACGAATTTAGTGCATAGAAGAATTTTTTTTAGAAATATTCTATTGCATTTTTATGCAAAAAGGGGGCAAGAGTTTATTGCATAGTATTATTCTTATTTTTAAATCACACTATATTAACTAATCATATTAATTCATTAAGTCATGATTAATCTTTATTTGGTAATATATTGACATATTTATGCATGATATTTTAACTTACATAAATATGGTAATATGCTTATTTTTAAATCACACTAATTTATAATTCCTAAACACGCATTACACTTACTCTGCTAACATAAACTCCAAAATTGTCACACGAGTTTCTTGCATAGAAGAAAAAAAATTTAGAAAGATTCTATTGCATTTTTATGCAAATACGGGGCAAGGAAGTTAACTTACATAAAGATTTTACATAAAATTTACACATGAAAATTTTGGTAGTATATTGGTAATATATATCATAATGTTTGTAATTTAATCTTTATTTGGTAGTATATTGACATGTTTACACATGAAATTTAATATGTTCATTTTTAAATCACACTAATTTAACTAATAATATTAATTAACTTGTATAGTTTTTTTTGTATAGCTTATTAAAATATGTTGTCTTTGAATATAAAAAGAGTCACTGACTATTAGTAACACACACGTCGGCCTATTATTTTCCAATCAATGAAAAACTGTATTTTGTGCTATCAGACGCGTAAGCAGTGATCTTGATTTAAAAATATTAGTTTGTGAATATTACTCACCGATCAGACCATCATTATATTTATTATGAAGTTTTAATCATATTGAAATAAACTTCATTTTTTTTCCATTGATTTGCAAAAACATAATTTTTTTTATTAATTAATAACTTACTGAAATAATTGTTATTGAACCATATTTCCCCGTGCTTCGCACGGGTTTAACCCTAGTGTCTGTATAAAAGAGTTATGAACATGAATAAGCTACATGATTTAGATTATCAGAACTGATGTCCAAAATGAAGAGATATATATTGGAAGATAATTTCTCAATAATACGAAGGCATCATGCGCGTAAGTCTTTTCTGTAGAGGATAAATTTATTTGTTAATGAATGTTGGTTTT